AGGTTTGTTTTGGGGTTTTCTGTGTAAGCCACAATACGCACTGGGCATTAAACTCTCGCCAAGGAGCGTGTGTTAGCGTAAACGTGAAGCAGTAAGCGAAAAATTATATAATGGTAAAACGCTATTGGTCTAGCTGTGGTGAGTTGTAGAAGTTGAAGAAACAAGCTGTGGTCATACGGTGGATGAACAGGCTTGAAAGTAGACACTCAGTGTCTGCCAGAGGCAACAAAATGAGAGCAGTATGAATTTTTAACACATACACATAAAGCAACTAAATAGAGAGGAGTGCATATAGCAAAAAAAAAAATACTCAAACAATTACAAATTATGCTAATATAAAATGAAAAAAAATAATAATAAAATTAAGCAAAATAGAGAAAACGAAATGAAAAAATTAAAAACATTAATTTCATTAATTTAATTTAATAAATAAGAAATGATAAGAAATTTAGATAAGTTATTATCAAATCAAAATAATTGAAATTAAATAAATAAAAAAATAATATACAAACAATTTTCCATCCACAAAAATGTCTATGTCATGCTTGCCTGCACAAAATACACATATCCATCCAATGCTCGATTTGATCTGTGCAGCCTGGCAACAACCCAGTGACTAATCAAATATCTAAGTATCAAAACCATCGATTAACGCCCAAGCTGTGCCACGACCATAACCAAGCAGTCACTCCAACAACCGACGCCAGTTAAATGGAATGAATTCACGCTCTGCAAACTACAAAAAGTTTCGATTGTGTGTGTGATTTCGGTCCTAATTAATTTTAGTACAAATTTTCTAAGAAGCAAAAAAAAAAAATAATTCAGCAGAAAAATAAATATTAATATGTACATAATAAGAGGGAAACGTCAAATAAAAGCGGATAAATTAACTTAATATTAAAGTAAATCAATTATTTATTGATAAAAAAATATAGAAAATGTATAAGAAAAACAAACTTAATTAACAAAATTAATCAAATAAATTAAATTAATTTTTTTTTTAAATATTAAGGTTAGTAAATTTAAACAAATTGAAATAAAATGAAATGATATAATATGAAATATAATCTAGAATAACACAAATAAAATCAATTAATTTGAATTAAATAAAAAATAAATAAAATAAAATGGAAGAATAGAAAAAAAAATAAATTAATTAAAATTAAATAAATTTAAAGAAAAGATAATAAAATAATCTAAAAAAAAATAAATTGAATTGAATTAAATGAAAAATAAATTTAAAATAATATGGACGATTAGAAAAATGAATTAATTATTTGAACTCAAGCAAAGTTAAAAAAGAGATAATAAAATAAACTAAAATAAAATAAAGTAATGTACATTAGAATTAAATAAAAGCAATGTAAGACTAAACAAAGAAAGACAATAAATTAAACAAATAAATATTATAAGAAAAAAATAAATTAAAATAAAAAATAAATAAACATATTTAAGTAGAATAAAATCAAAATAAAATACAATAAAATTTAATAAAATAAAATAAATTGAGAAAATTAAAAAAAAAAATTAATTAAAAAATAAAAACAACAAAATAAATTAAAATTAAATGAACTGAGACAAAATAATAAAAAATAAAATGAAAAAAAAAATAAAATAAATTAAAATGAAATAAACTAAATTAAAACAAAATAACATAATAAAAAAAAAAATAAAAATAATAATAATAAAAATAAAATAATAAAAAAACCAAGTAAAATAAAACAGACATAGTAAATAAAATAAAATAAAATAAATTAAAAAATAAAAAAATTAAATTAAATAAAATGAAATAAAATGAAACAAAATAAAATAAAGTAAAATCAATTACAAAAAGTACAATAAAATGAAATAAAACAAAAAGGAGAAAAAAATAAATAAATAAAATGAGAAAATATTATTTCCCAGTTATTGCATTCATATTTATTTCTATTGAGACACATTTTCTTAATATTATGCAACTACTAGTGAAATATATGTGAATTTCGATTTTATATTTAGTGAGAAATTTTATTTTAGTTGCGCTTGTATAAAATTCATATTAAAGTTTAATTGTAATTTTTACTGCTAAATACACACTAGGTGGTTCTTTGGGAACTTCCAAAACTTGAAACTCATTCAAAGCAATACTCCCTAGTCATTGCCATCTTAATTTCTCTCTCTTGAGTACTCAGCTGTATTTTTAACTGCTTATTAAGTTCTACTTCACAGTTTTTCGTTGAAAATACCGCTGACAAAAACTTGCCACAAGTGATTCTTGTTCAACGAGAAGAAGAAGAAGAAGAAGAAGAAGAAAAATAACTACTCACGTCTTGACAACTGAGTTTGCTGAAGAGTTGTAAAAGTGTGAGAGTATCTGTTGATAAAACTATGTGAGAAAATACACGAAGAGCAGCGAAAACAAAAATATAATGAGAAAATATGAAGCAACATAATTTTTCTTGATTTTATTTTACACCGGAAGATTGATATATACATATACATATGTATGAGTATATGAATTTTTTTCTTGAACCTTCATCATTTCTTTTTGCCAAAATTAAAAAAAATTGTTTTTTTCCCAATTTTTTTTGGAGTGAGAGTAAATAATTTTAATTTTTTATGACGCTGGTTAATTTTCATAATTAAGTGGTTGAGTTTATGTGCAGTAAGAGGGAAACTCTTCATTGTTCGCAAAAGATTTGCGCCGAAAAACTAGGAATTTACTAAAAAGAAATGCAATTTTATAATATCTAATGTGCTCAGCTGGTCGATGTGCGAATTCAACCTGACTTCACCGCCCTTCCAGAAATGCATGGGACAAATAAAATGACTTCTAGTGATTTTTATTACAGTGACCATTTAAAGGTGCCGATATTTAGTTTAGAATTTATGCTAAAAGAGATAATGCGTAGCTGAGTTCAATGAACACAAATCGCATCAAGACGAATCTCCTCAACTTATCGCAGATTTGCGCTTAACGAAAAAAAAGGAAGTCATGGGCCAAGGCATCTTCTTTGAGCGCCGGTCCGCCACGATATCAAAAGCGTTGACTATTGGTAATTTCAATGGTAATGGTATCTTCACGACGAAACTTCTCCAAAAGATCTGAGACCGACCGACTTTGCAGGTACCCAAAAAAGCTACTTAGTTCTGATTTTTCGAAGATCACGAAACCAACTCGATTATATTGTGATAGATACAAAATATGACATCAAAGTTACAGATAAGCGCGTTCTCCGAGGTCTGAAAATTGACTGTAATTAATATATTGTTGTACCCAAAATACAAAACCAATTCTCTGCAATCAAGAGCGCTCGACAATAAACCCAGGGAAGGTTCGACATTGAAAAGTCACCATCGTAACCGAGAGCTGAACGGTTTCCAACTAGACTTGCACTCAGAGAGCACTTACCAGCTACTCCGAATATAGGAGATGTCGAAGTGGTATTGGAATTAACTTGAACAACGTCGAAAAAAGAGCTTGTTTTAGTGAGGTAGGCTACATTGTACTACAGAAAAAATAGGCCGGCTGCTCTGCAAATTTATGACTGTAACTGAGTTCATGGAGGGACACTCCTACGGCGTGTTCAATTGCATCAATAACCATAAAGTAGATATGCGACTTGCGACTGCTCACGTGAACGACAACAAAGTTAAGTGAGCTGAGGCAGCACACAGACTACGCAAACGATTGTGAGAAAAACAAGCTCCAAATTGAAGAACATAGCCTTAGCTGATATATTCATTGAACGATAGAAGGAAACCGATCGAACTTTACTTTCTTGTGTGACTGCAGAACTAGTAACTCTATCATTTAGCAGATAGAGGCATAGATCAATACACATCACTCACTCCTCAATTCTAGAACCCTAGAGGATTAAAAGAAACAGCCTGAACGCTGCTATGGCTCTGTAAGCTAACACTGGAAAATATCCGCCGTAACTTAGTCCAGACTGGCAAAGGTCTCTACGAGCCAGTTCAAACGAAGTTACAGACAGGGTGACCATATATACTGTAGTTTCTCAGTTTCTTAGTTCTGATTTCTTTAGATCGCAGAAGTGAGCGAAACAAATGGGTCTCATACCATAGAGAAGACTAAGTTAAATTATCTCTTATAGATTTTCATTCAATAATATTTCCATACAAAAACTTTACATTTAAAATCTCATTCACCTCAAATGAATTTTAGTTTTGGCCTTGACTTATGTAGAAATATTCGAAAATTTATTACAATAAAAGTGATACATCAAACACTTTTCGAAATAACATTTGAACATATGTTTTAACTGAAATTGCAAAATTGTGTTAAATGCAATTTAAGTTCCAAAAACAACGACAACTCTTAGTGCATGTCAAAACAAAAGAAGATAAATAGAGAAAACAGAAATTTTATATCGACAAAGAAATGAAAAAAAAAATTAAAATAAAACATAAAAAAGTCTGCCAGCACGAGATGTGCGAAACTGATATCAAAAATAGCGAAACGCAAGCAAGCAACAATTAAAATGAAGTAGAGAAGAAAATTCCAAAAATAAAGCAAGCAAAATAAAACCAAATTCGTCCAATAAATAAAACAAAAAATATGAGAATTTTGGAAAAATACCACTAAATATAGAACTCATAGGTTCAACTATAAACATGCATACATTTATACATATACCATACATACATATATATATATATATATATATATATATATATATATATATATATATATATATAGAAAGTATATTTTCCCTACTAAGTAAGCTCAAACCTACTTGAACTCACGTAGCAACCCATCGCTATAAAAGCAACGCGCATCGCTTCAACACAGCGCACTTCAAAATAAATATTTTGCCAGAAATAACTATTGCTTGCTTCTAGTGAAAAACTCATTGTAATAGTTGTTATTGTTACTCTTATTTTTTCCATTTTTTTTGTTTGTTTGCAATATAAAAAATTTAAAGCGAAAATCGTTAGTAAAATGAAATTCCACGTATTTCTCTTTGTTCACACTCTCGTACTGCTACTCGTCACAGTATGCAGCAACAATGCGGCCACCATTGCTGTGGAGGATGGCATCGAATGTCCCAGAGACCAATCGGACACTTCATTTGTAGTGCAAATTCCATCGCCTAGCAACTGTGGTATTTTCTATAAGTGCGATCGCGGACGTCCGAGGGTGAACAAATGCCCGGAGGGCTTGCATTATAGTAAGCGCTTAATGGTGAGTGTTTGCGTGGGGAGGTGGGGAGTTGGGGAGAAACGGAAATGTTGAAAAGGAAAAATTCTCTTTACACTGTTGGGCGATTTTACATGCACCTGTTAGAGTCTGGAGGCTTATGTTTAAGAATACGTAATAAAAGATATTATTTAATTTAATTAGTTTGCTTTAAAACGTTTTATTCTAATTTATTTCACTCAAAATTATTTTTCTTTTTTTATTTTATTAAATTTATTTTTATTACATTTAAATTTCTATTTATTGTATTTGTTTTTAATTTTATTCAATTTTGTTTTATTTAATTTATTTATTTCATTTAATATTATTTTCTTTATATTTATTTTAGTTTTATTATTTTTAATTGTATTTAATATAAAATAATTTAACTTTGTTTTATATTATTTTACTATAATATATTTCATATTCATTTATTTTAATTTATTGAATTTATTTCATTTTAGTTGTTTTTTTGACTTATCTTAATTATATTTTATTTTATTTTTATTTTTTTATTTTATAATTATTTTATTTTGTATTTAATTTAAGTATATTTTTATTATATTTTTTAAAAATGAGTTTAATTTTATTTCATTTTTTAATATATTTTTAATATGATTTATTTATTTCATTTTTTTTGTCAACATTTTTAATTTTATTTTATATATTTTTGGTTTATATCTTATTTTTATTTTATTTAAAAATTTTTTTAAATTTATTTATTTTTTAATTTAATTTAATTTTGATGAAGTTGGGAATCTATAATCCAAATTGCGGCATTTCGCCACTCTTACCTCTCAATGAGTTTCGTTGAGAAGGTATTGTCGATAAAGAAGATGTAGTTGTTGTAGCCCACCTCTTCGGAGAGTGGTGTAAAGTTTAGTATTTGAGCATGCCTCTTGCGGTTGTTCCATGAAAATGTAACGTTAAGTCTTTTGTAAGGTCTGCTGGGAGAACCGCAAGTAGAATTTCGAGTGCTTTAATAGGAGTTATGAAGGCCGTCAACTGAACTTTTGCCTGCTTGCTCTTATTGGTAGTCTTGTCAAATGCTGGCCACAAGAGACCACAAGAGAAATAATGTGAGTCTAATAACCATTTTGTACACAATATGTGGTCTTATTTCCCATATCTTACCCATTGATGCCTTGCAGGCGTAAAGTGCGGTCGCAGATTTTTTACACCTTTCAATCATGTTCAGGTTACAGGTAAGCTTGCTGTCTTAGATAATGTCTTGGTATTTAGTCTAATTATAAAGCAAGGTCTGGATGCCTGTAAGTAAGAATGGTTTGAGGGCAGATGGCTTAGAAGGAGGGATAGAGCGAGGTGCTTCTATTGGCATACCTGTTAACTGATGCGCCTCCCAATTCGGCGAAAATTAGTAGACTTCTTAAGAGAGATTTTAGGAGACCCAATCAAAAATCGCGGGCCAGCATCCATTTCTCGTAGTGCAAACGCAACTATCCCTGGTAAGAGGATTTTGTCTCTATGTGTCTATGTCGATAAATATACCCAATGTGTACGTTGAGGGCTTTTTTGTTTTATTTTACTTAGTTGTATACCATTTATTTTTACTTATTTTAATTTATTTAAATATATTTTATTCAACTTCATTTTATTTTATTGTACTTTATTTTAATTAAATTATATATATTTTATATTTTTTATTTATTTCAATGAATTTAATCAAATTTGATTAAATTTAGATTAAGTTATATTAATAATTTTATTTTATTTAACTTCGTTGTATTTCATTTATTTTCAATGAATTAAATTTATTATAGTTAACCCTCCGTCCGACACCATGGTCTTGCCAGACCTTTTTCCTTTTTAAGGATAAATTTAACATACTTTAAATATAGATAGCGATTTTTGCTCCTAGGTAACCTCCTAAAATTTTATTGGCTATCGATCTATGCAATGAAAACATATACCTGTTCTTTTAAAAAAGGACGAAAAAAGGATTTAAAAAAATGGTGGTGTCTGGCCAGACTCCTATATATTTATATAGGTTCATATGGGCCAGGTGTCGGACGAAAATATATAAAGTGTGGTGTTTTATTATACCCTATTTAATTTTATTTATTTATATGTATTTAATTTAATTTGATTAAAATAAGATTAATTTATTTTTACTTAACTTTATTTAATTTTATTTTACTGCTTTAGGTTTTTTGTTACTTTATTTTAAATTAATTATTTATTTATTTAATTTTGTTTTATCATTTAAGCTCATTTGATACAATTTAATTAAACTTAATATAGTTTACTATAACTTAATTATTTTATTTTATTTTATTTATTTCAATTTAATTTATTTGGTTTTATTTCAATTCATTTTATTTTTATTTGGTAGAAGTGATAGCTCTTTCGGAGATCACCACATCTGTTTATCAGACTACTCATAAAAGGGGATCGAACCAACGGATACTGATTTAAAATTTAATTAAATTTTATTTTATGTTAATTTTTTTATTCTATTTTATTTTATTTTATTTTATTTTATTTTATTTTTTTTATTTTATTTTATTTTATTTTATTTTATTTTATTTTATTTTATTTTATTTTATTTTATTTTATTTTATTTTATTTTATTTTATTTTATTTTATTTTATTCCATTTTATTTTATTTCATTTTATTAATTTATCTCACTTCTTCTTATTTTTTCTAATATTATTTTAAATTATTATATATTGTCGCTTTGTTTCATATTATTTCAGGCTTGTGACTTCCCCTCGCGAGCTCAGTGTACAATTGCTGTTGCAGAATAATTTATTGCGTCAAAATATTTAAAGAAATGATGTAAACAATAGAAAAGTATTAATTAATTAAAATTAAAATTAAAATTCCAAAAAGCTGTTGTTTGTATCCACCCAATGCTTCAAACACAATACATTATATATTTATGTTATATATATATACATATAAACGTATATGTTTATATATATATATATACCTGTGTTTGTTGTGCTAGTAATGCTAAACGATTCTTGCCTTTAATTTAGAACAACAAAATTGTAACTTTCTCTTTATAACGGATAACTGCACTTACTGACGTTTATCGTGATTTTAATTAAATTAATTAAACTTTCTCTCCGATCATTCCCCTGTAAATGGTCGAGTGAGTTGTTAAATAGTTTCTCAACTTTCAAAAATAATCCATGTTTATATGTATGTATGTACATATCGGCACACACAGGCATCTACTTCACTTTCAACTTTGATGAATTTTCAATTTGCTGAACGCTGAGTGTTTTCTTCCAGTAAAAAGTTGCAAGCAGCCTTTGTATTTGACAAATGAACCGTTTCATACGCCACCAGCATTTCAAGCAGTCATTATGGAAAGTTTATTAGTTTACAGTTCCTACGAAAACCGTGCTACAGCAGGTGAACCACTCTGAACCCTTTCGTTGAGTTTCTTCACTTTCCTCGTTTTCTTTTCATCTTCAAATGAACTTTGCCTATGCCATTTGCCTTTAAAGTTAATCTATATTTGGTTTCTTACCGCACCTTTTACTTTTTTGTATTTTCTACAACCAATCTTCACCAGCTCTTCTGTGGTTCACTTACTTGGAAGACTTTCTTCTTGCTATCGGTCTTCACCTTTTGCATAATTAATTCAGTTTCACCTTTGTCGGGGTAAATATTTGAATGAAACCATTTGAAACATTTCGCAAGTATTAAATGATTATTTGGAAAGTTTTCGGCGCAAAGAGTTTTGTTACTACAATAAATTGTTAAAAACTGAATTGAAAGTGAAAACTTTTAACACTCGATAAAAGCTTTTAGTTACACATAATGCCAAACTAACACGCGCGCATATGTACATATATGCTCAATTATTTATATATATATACATACAAGTAAATATGGGAAAATGTTACTTTTGCTCTTTAGTTGGTGTAGCTTCACCCATACATACATACATAAATAGCCGTAAAGTCCGTTAATCGATAAATGATATGTGGAAGGTTAGCGAGGTGAGAATTTTGGAGCTTAAAATTAATTGACTTAAACATATGTCAAAAATAGTAAGATTTCGAGAGCCAAACAGAAGAGTTATAATCCTCTATGAAAGTGCACAGCTGCTGGTTCATGCAGAAAATTATTGAGCTTGGGATTTAAACTGCAACTTAAGCAATTTTATTTAAGCTGAGGGGTAATGGGTGGCAGTGCAAGGATTATTGGCTACTATGAATTTAATTTTTTGTTTTATGTATGTTGAATTATTTTATATATATATATATATATATTTATAATTATATATTATTTTTTAAAAATTTTCAAATGATTTTTTAGCGTTCTCCTTGTGTCGTGGAGGGATTAAATACACGCCTACCACGTCGTCATGTCGTCATCACTGTAAGGATGTGTATCATTCCCAGGTCACTAAAAACTCTCATCGAGGGAAGCTTTGCCTTGTCTTGTCTTGAGACTTCCATCTCATAGACTGCTGCTAGGTCCTATTTTCTGAACCGGTGCATATTTTCTGTATAATTCTTGCCCTTTTTTAGGTTTTTCTAGCTTTGAGGCTTGACAGCTGTAATGCTGTTGGCGTTTACATATATTTCAAACCTCTATAAGTAACATATTTCACTCTGTTTGACAGTCTACGGATGTAAGAAATATGTCTTCAGCGTTGTCTTCGATCGCATTGTTGTTAATGTTTAGTATACAAGTCTTTTCCGATTTTGTTTAGCTGTTTCCTGAAATATTCTTGTTCCGCTAACTTCTATGTGGTGTAATAATTCATATTGCCAGGCCTCATGCTGGATCAATGTTATCTTTTTGAGTAGCTTTCCATGATGTTTCTGCTGCTAACGAGCTGGCAATTATTTCAAAGTGTTGACCTTTTAGATGTTCATTTGTGGTAATAACATTTGTTAATTTTTTCTTTAAGACCAACATTTTTTTCTTTAAAATGCTTCCGCCTATGACCGACACAACTTCGCCATTTACGTTTCTCTCAGTCGGTGACTAAAGATGAGAACTGATAGATGCTAAGTTGGAATGAAAGGATTTGAAACGCCTTTTTCGTAGCGCGTCGGTCATATGCCTAAAGTGGTGCCCAACTAACATTTTCTAATCTCAGTATCTTCGCTGTTGTTCTCATGTCTATTGCAACAGCAATATGCTTCTTGATGAGCAACAACAACTCAATTATTTCAGTGCCAATTTAGACTCCATGCGCTAAGCCACACCTAACAACACAGTTACCATCTCCTGGCTTACATTCCTGTCGGGGATTTCGAAGATTCTCATACCGTCATAACTGACGTGCGCGAGATCTGGAGCGAGACGAAATCCCTGTGCAGCTACTTATCTACTTATTTGGTCCTTCCGGTAGCTCATCCACTGCGATATGTTGGTATTTTGCATTTTTTTATGTTTCAACCATTATTTCCCTTGGGCGCTGTCGAATGCACTTCGTACGTCTGGAGCAGCAATTACAACAGCTTGTCTGAGCTTATGGCATCCCAATGTTGACCTACTCGATCTGAATCTCTATTAAGCGGGCAATAAGTCCCTCGTCAAAGACGCAGGAGGTCGGTTATTTTATTTTAGTTTACTTCTATTTATTTTACATTGTTTTATTTGTTATGACATATTTTTATTTTGTTTTATTTTGTGATTTTATATTATTTGTTTTATTCTTTTTACTTTGTAATAGTTTGTTTTATTCATTTTCCTTATTTCTATTTATTTTATATAAGTTTGTTTTATTTAATTTTATTTTATTTAAATAAATATATTTGAGCTTCGACAAATGATTCAGATGTGTGGCCAAACATTTCATTCCTAATGCAATCATGTCGGATCATCTTATTAGTCATTCTTACTTACTGAAAGCATTACTTTTATTCCTTCCATTTTATGCTATTATACTTTTCCATTAACTCTCACGCCCGTCTGGCATGTGCCGCCTTTAGACACACTGTCATAATTGTCACTCAAAGGCATACTCGCCTACACACATATACGGTTCGTCTGTTTCGCACTTCAATTTTTCTGGTGCTCCTCAGTGCAGAACATTTCATCAGACCAACTGTCACCGCAAATAAATCAAAAGTATGCCACCATAAAAAATGATGCACACCAATGGTGTTCGAAGGCGCAAAAAAGAAAAAAAAATAATTGGCTTTGTTTTGAGTAAAATTACAATGCGTGTGGAAGGTACTCAAACTTACAGCACGTTATATTAATACGCATTCCATTGCATGGACCCTTTTTTATCGGTTTTTGTTTTTTCTTTACCATTTTTAGCATTTGAAAAATGATTTCCAGCCTCCACAATTGACACTGAGGGCACAATTCTATTAAAAGCAGATAAGCGTCAAAGTAGATTTTGAGCAAGTTTCGCCTTATCCTTTTTGCTCCTTTTCTTGTTTACTACCTTTTTTTTAGTCGTTAATACTTTTTCTTGCTAAACTACTTTTTATTTATGTATTTTCTTTGCTTTCGCCTTCGGTTGTCCTATCGTTGTTGTGCTGTTGTATGACGAACTTTTCTTAGGCTACGTGTTTGAGTGATATAAGCAAAACCTTTTTTTTCACTTTGCTCAATGCGTAAGGAAAATGGTGAAATCATTACTTATGAACTTGTAGAGCATGAAAAAGAATTGGGGAAAAATATTAAAAGAGAATAAAGGTTGATATAAGTAAAAGTAAGTGTAGAGCTTGAGGAATTTCTTTCAGCCTTTCGTCACGTTGATATAAATTCGATTTTGATAACTGGTTGGTTTTGAGGGTTGGTTAAAATAGCTTTTAGGGTTCATACCTTACACAATACTTTGAAAGATTTTGACACAAAGGATATGAAAATATCACTTGGTGATATCGTGTCATTGTCTTCAGCTCAGGTATATCAGAAATTTTTTAAACTGACCAATCACTCAAGTTTTTGAAGGTTGAAACAATAGATACCCAAACCTTTTCCTCTAAAAGCCACAACATTTGCATAGCATATGCCCTAAGGATACCAGTTATTCCTCCTATATTATTTGATACAGCTAGTGCCACTGCGTGCCTGTCTAATTAAAGATATCCCTCAAGAATAGTAAGAGAGTTCGGCTTTCTCGACCATCTTCTAGTCCAAATTATATTTACCTTGCAGACATTGAGATTTCTTTAGCTTTAGTTAGCATCTTTGATAAATATTTCGCTTATAGTGTGCTTACAAGTGGATGCGGCAATATCCAAACGCTTCCATGATGGTCGAAGGGATGAGAAGTGTTCTTACTTACAAGCACGTCCGCCATCCCTTACCTGGTATGTTACTGTCTCCATGTCTTCATAATAGCTTCGAAGGGAACTACTTAATCATCACTTTCAGTAAGTTGTGGCAGAGTGCAACATATAGAGGCAATTCACCCAGAGTATCAGTGACATGGCAGTTGAAAGGAGTTGCTAATTCTAAGTTCATTTTATTGGATCAAACCTGGCTCATTGGTTTCCATATAGATTAATCGCTTTGAAGTTGTACGTACTCTCTAGAAGTTGAAACGTTTATGAACATATTAATATGAATAACCAATTTCCAGCTTCCGTTCAGGCACCTCCCGTGGTTTTACCGCCCCACAAGCTCCATCATATGTCCCACAACGTCAGTATGGAATGTAGCAAAGCGAATTTTCATAGACTTAATAGGTGTGGTTAGCAAGGCACCATCCAAGCGGACTGTCCTCTACACTCTGTGAAAGTCACATTGCTCCTGGTTAGGAAGACGATTCGTTGCACATGAGTTGCTCAAAAACAAAGACATTGATGTCGGTGCGTGACTCATAAGTAGTTTAGCCAGGCTATTTATACAAT